CAAGCGAAGAAGGGCAAGCCACACAACGAAAAAGAAGCTGCGTGCAAAGGGAAGCAGGAGACTCTGGAGGGTCCCATACCATGCCTCAGCAACAAGACTGTCAAGGCTCTCTTCAGGACTAAAAGGTGTACGAGGAAATTCGAAGACGAAAGTCGGGTGGGCACTCACCCCAGCGCCACCGATGTGAGTTTTAGGCGCGCCACCCTTCAAAAGTCTATGATTGCCCGGCAAAACTGTAAGAAGCGGCTTAGGGCAATGCCAATTGCTGACCAGGGCGTGAAGAAAAGACAGAGTGGCACTGAAATCCGCAAAACCTTGCCTGGTATGGAGGACAGGATACATGATAGACAGTCTGCCAAGAAAATCCGAAAGCAGGCGGGTAATGCAAAATCCTGCCCTTGACAAGGTGACAGCGGACGGCCCTGAGCCACCGATCCGTCTCTTTGGCGCTGTCCAAAACTGAGAAGACATGTGGAGCAGGGGATTGACAGCTCCGAGTCGGCAGAGGATTTGGCAACCTATTGGCGGGGCCCCGCAAAGACGAGCACAAACCCAGTGCTCTCTGAACGTGGCAGAGGAAGAAGGGAAAGCAGTGTGATTCACGTCAAGAAACCAATGACTGATATCAACACTGCAATCCAGCGAGGATTGCCTGCCGTCAAAAGGGACATAAAGCTTGGAGGGCTGTACACACCCAGCTGACTCATTTAGAGTCTCACTTGACACACCATCTCCTAGCCAAGAGAAACCACCGACACTACAAACAGTGTTCCCCTCGACCGCCAACTTATCTACACGGAACTTCCCCATCGAAGTTCCGCGAGAAATCGGGGCGACCAAGGAAACAAAAGTCCGAGTGCCAGGGGCTTCATAAGCAAGGAGAGGATAGGGAACCACAGGACCGTTCTCATTCATCCCATGCCATCCAATGGTGCTTGCTCCGGCGGGCGGTCGTTGTCGTTGTCCTTGAGGTCCTCGTCGGATTCCGAGATCTGAGTCTGGTCGGTACTGCTTTTGAGATCCACTCCGAAGGGCTTCATTGCCATGCGCTTGGCCTCCAATTTGGCTGCTAGCTGGCTGGAGCCCGTGCCAGTATGCACTGGGTGCAAAGTGGCACCCTTGACCGGCTGTCTGGGCCCCTGCTTTGGCCTGTTGTGCGGACTGGCCGACATGGCAGCAAACCCAAGATCCGGCTTGTTGGCAGCTGGCGACGAAGGGAAGGGTGTAGGTGGCGGCTCTTTGGGAGCCTCTGTAAGGTGCACCCCTTCTGTCCCCGGCCCCGGGCGAACAGCTTGTCCTGCAAACATATCCTGCATTTGAAAGCCAGGTGGAAGGCCTGCCAGGGTCGCTTGGAGCAGTCTGGCAGCCATCTCTGGAGTCATAAGACTGCCACCATCTGTGGTAGCACCCGCTCCCCTTTGTTTGGCGATATCCGCGGCCTGCAGTGCATCCTTGAGGAAACCCTCCTGCATGGGCGTGTCGTCTTCGGCGTGGATGAGAGATTCCCAAGCCTGTTCTGCCTCCGCTGCTGCTGGTTGTCGAAGGATGGGCTTGCCAGCAGCAATGTCCCGGACCTCCTGTGCGGAAGCTTGTCCTTGGCGGGTGGCTTCGAGGATATCCGTCTCTATCTTCTGAAGAGCAGCCTCGTACCTGTTCCGCTGCTTGACATATTCGTCCTTGTGGTCCTTCTCGTAGATCTTCCATTGCTCCTGCTTCCTTTGAGCCTCTTCTCGTAGCTTCCTCACTCTCCCGTCTGCTTTGCGTGCATTGGTCAAGGCACGCTGTATGTCTCGCATCTCGTCGGGTCCTTCTGCATGCTCCTGCCACGAGCTCGCTTTGCCACGTCCCTTTCTCGCACCACCATCCGAAGGCAGTGGAATCTGGTCGTACTGGGGCCGTCCTTTGGGAGACGCAGTCGGGTAGGCACCATGCCAGATCTTCCAAGGCGGAGCATTGGAGGAGTAAGAAGACCAGTCTTGCGACTGCCATTCCGAGGCTTGCCATGCCTTCTTGCCACCCATAGCCTGGGTCGACCCAGGACGAAGGAGCTGTGAAGAGTACCTTGGGGCCGAGTGGTGGCCCTGCAGGAGAGAAATTGCCCGAGCTGGAAGAGGCAGTCCAAGCGCCCGGCGGGCGTGTATGCTCTTGCGAGCTCTAGAGCGTTTTGCTCTGAGCCTTCGGTGCCACGCCGGCGAAGAAGCGGCAATGGCTTGATTCGTACGCCCTTGCGTACTGGGGTTCAAGGCTATACTGACCCGCTGATGGGCCGTTCGATCCCAAACCCTTGAGCCAAAATGGCTCCGGAAACTATCTATATACAGATACATATATATATATATATATTCTCATACATACATACATACATACATACATACATCAGCAGCTCTAAACCCTGAAAGCCCGAAACCTTTAGTTGGTGTAAACCCTCCTAAACTCCAGTTTTCTGTTTGGCTGCCCTCCAACCTGACAGGGGCACCGAAATCGCAAAGCATCCATGGCAACGCGTCAATACTTGCAGGTTCATGGGTAGTTATAAGTGGGGCTATAAGTAGGGTAAATATACTTATAACCCATATAGCCCCACTTATAACTACCCATGAACCTCCCAGATACAAAACAGCGATGTTGGCGGTTGAAATTAGATCCCAGCTTGGCGATAGCAGAGGAGCAGTTGTGGCCACGAGCCTCCCCTGCTCAGGCCACCGTCTCTCAGATCAAGCACAGCCACAAGAAGCACCGCAGGCATGCAGTTGGGACTTATGGCATTGCCCCGACATTTTTGGTGAAGAAGATGGTGGTACTGGTGATGATAATATGATGGTGACCAGTACAATACTGATGGCAATGTGATGATGACGATGTCGTTGTTCATGGTGACAAAGATGATCGTGATGATGATGGTGATGAAGATGACCATGATGCTGCTGTTGATGATGATGATGATGCAGCCGAAGCTTATGGCGACCATGAACACGAACATGAGAACCATGATGGCCGTGATGACGCCAGGAGACTCTGGTTCTGTTGGTGGTGATGCGAGTGGGGCTGGGTAAGGCGATCGAGGTGAAGATGCCGATGCAGACAGCTATCATGACGATTCAGTTCAGCAACGTTAGCGAGTCGGTGGAGTATGACCACGAGGACGATGGTAGTAATGCTGATCGTGATGATGGCATTGATTAATTTGATTGACCTGATTTTGATGACGACGGTGACGGTGATAATGGTGTTTTTTTTTTTTTTGTTGTTGTTGCTGCTGTCGTTGGTGATTGTGAAAATGATGATGCTGATGACGATGATGTTGATGACCTTCTCATCATGGTGATCCTGACCATGGCGATGCTGATGCCTGCAAGTGTTACAGTCGTACATCACAAATGACCGTTCATCATCTATACTTCCTGATGTGAGACCATCCTAGTATGATGATGGTGGTGATTCTGACGGTAGTAATGGAAACAGGGTCTTGTGGTTTTTGTCACGGTATGTCAGGGAAGTTTCACGCAGGGCCTTAATGACTAGAATAGGGTTTGAGGGTACATCATTGTGCAAGCCTGTCGAGACTGTTACGAGGCAATACAACTACTAAATATTCAGAACGTTGCAATGGCCGAACAAGCCCCTTGGAACATCCTAGCTGCGAGGCACCACAGCCACCATTCTGAGATGCTCGGCAGCAAGTTCAGAGACGTAAACCTAGAACCCTAAGCCTCGTACATGCAACTGTCGCTCAGAGAGCAGTACTTCCACATATCGAAGCTGTTGAGATCGCTTTCTCAGCTTTCACTCTCAGGTTCAGTGTTTTGGGTTTCGAGCTAGTTTCGTTGCGTTCTTGCCACGCTATCCTCATCTGCGTTGAGTGCACCTCTCCACCGGAACAGTGCAGTGTCCAACCAAATCCACAAAGCCAATCTCAAAGCCCAGACCCTAGGCCTTCAATAAACGTCCCTATAAAGGGAAGTCCAGAAAGTTGGAATGTGGTTTCAGGGTAGGATACCCTATAGTTTACCATACAGGGTTTAGGATAATCATATTCCAACTTTCTGGCTTTTACTTTATATCCCTAGCCGTATACCCCAAGCCCTGAACCATGAACACGAATGACAAATTCCTCCTCGAACCCCAAACCCTTAACCCTGCAATCCTACACCCGGAATTCCAAATCCCAAACCCTAAGCCCCGCAACCTGTTTCCCTCAGTCACCACATGAGCCATGGCCCAGGCAGTCTTTGGGTGAGGTTCAGGCCACTGCTTCTGCTGCTTCTGGCCTAGAAAAGGTTGATTCCAAGGTCTTAGAGTTTAAGATTGGGGCTTAAGGTTTACCGGGTTTAGGAGGGCTTTTGGGCTTGGGGCTTGTGCGCCGTCGGGGCTGTTACAGGGGGTTCACACTGCAAAAGCTTCAGAGGGGCTTCAGTTTCAGAGCTGTAGATGCACAAGGCTTTCGCATCGAGTCGGCCGGGTTGTTCATGTTGATGCTACGACTCCAAATAGCCCAAAGTAGGTACCATTTGTATGCTTGGAGTCCTAGGGAGAAGCTATGGCTAACTTCGCAAGATTTTGCTTAGGCTGCGGCCTTGCAGCGTCCGGACAGTTCGAGAAAGGGTGCTTCAATACCCCTGCAATGAGGGCCCTGTTGCCAAACCCCAAACATTATATCAGATTCAAATTCCGTTCTATAAGCTAAGACTAATTAATTTCCGCGGACATGGCGTCTGCTTCGCCTGAGCTTACACCGAAGCAGCTCGGAGACCACTTGTGGATGCTGAGTTGCGGCTGCTTTCAGAAAGTAGGGCTTTGGGGTTTGGGTCGTTTATGTAGGTGGACAAGCTCACTCCCTTTCGGGGCACCTGTTTTCTGTTTTCTAGATAGAAGATACTAAGATACCTACGCAGTGAAAATTCCTTACATGGCAAGGTAGTGCGACTTTCTAGGTAGGACCAAGGATTCTGACCACTTGTTCGCATGTTGTCTCTTCAGTGGGCGTGCCCAGGAGCTTCATCATGAGCTCCAGCTGTATGTTGCTACTCAACAAGGCAGTGGCGACGTTTGTGCACGATCGCTTCAGTTTGATACTGGTCCAATCTGTCACGTCTGTGCTGATGAACTTTCTTGGAACAAGCATCGGAATCTTCCGAGAGCTCAAGCCTTTCACAACGGACACTCGGCAGCTGAGTCTATGTGCGAAGTTGTCATGGATGGTTTATACATGTGTATGTACATGTTGTTATTAGTTTTTGGTTTTGTATGTACAGCTCGTTGAAACTACTAGAGCTGGTGGACTCAGGACATGTTCCGATTGTTCTTGCCACCTTCGCTTATCTTCTTCTGCATGCTTCTCACCTCGCTGATCAGTTTGCCACAGGTGGGAGTTTCCGAAAGTTAGGGGTACCTTATTACTGGGTCCTTATAATAAGGATCCTACTATTTAGGGGTTCGATATTAGGATCCCCTATTTTCGGAAACTCCCAGGTGTCTGTCGCGACAGTTTTGGTGGCGCGGTCTGTCGGACTCTGCTTCGTGGCGACGGGGGAATACTTTCTTTTCAGCAACGCCAAAGATCTGGCGCAGAAGACTGGACGAAATGAAACCCTAAACCCTAAACCCTAGCTGTCTTGGGGTCTGTGGAAAGTGTTGTTGGGCATCTGCCGGTAACATGAATGATAACTTTAGGCGATCTCTCGTATAGCTGGCCTGCTGAGGAAGGTGGGGCTTGCCATCATCGTGGTGGGCGCCGGCATCTATGGTGCAACGGACATTACATATGCGGCACAAGGCTATTCTTGGCTTTGCATAAACTCCTTGCTCAACATTACTTGTCAACTCTGGGAGAAGCGAGCGATTTGCAAAGCGGTCAACCAAACTGCCGAAGGCCTGGCTATCGTGCAGAATACGCTGGTCATCCCTATTGCTTTGTCGATGCTTCTCTACACAAGAGAGACTCCTATTCAGACCATATCCACCGCACCGACGAGTATACAGCTCTCTGTCTTTCTCTCTGCGACCCTTGGATTTCTGATAAACTTGAGCTACGTGCGGGTGAACTTGAGCTTCCAGGTGACCTCCATCGCAGTGGCAAGCTCCCTGAGCCGTGTCTGGGCTTTGGAGTATCTGAGTATCATACTTTAATACTTTTGTGGGACCTGTTACCTAAGGGAACCATTATGAAGTTACTTCAAAGCCGCCCAGGTGTTGTGGCCCTGCTGATAGGTTCAAAACTCTTCGGCGAGGCCATGACACGCATTCAAGTCTTTGGCGCCGCTGTTTGCCTGTTCGGCTCCGCTGTTTACAGCAGCGTCCCTGTCGCTTAGTAGCTGAGTGGATACACTTTACACTTTTGGGGATCATATTACCCCTCTATAATTCTGAAAGTGTACACTTTTGGGGGCTTATGAACTCAGCAACTAAGGTCAAGTTTGCCTTGCCGGTAACTTTGGGTGCGCTGGCCACTGCGATCTCAACAGCAGCCTTTCTTGAGCTGCCGTCCTTAACCCTGAAGAACCTACCTTTTTAGGGTTCTCTAATATGTTTTCCTTATATAAGTCCTTAAAAGGTAGGTTCTTCAGGGTTAAGGGTTGCCTTATACCAACTTTCAACCTCTAGACCTACATGAACCTGAAGTCAAGTTCAGCCCTAAACCCTCCGCACCTTAACCCTTGAAAACACCCTAAGCCTGAATCGGAAATGCTAAGGTGAGAGGTTCCTGTATTTAAACCCTAAAACTTGAATCAAAGCTAGTCTGTAATTAGTTAAGCTGGGAGATCCAGTAATGCAATATAAAGCCTAGTATAGGGGCCTAAATAATTTCCAGTACTATTTTGGAGGCTCCTTGTTATAGTTACAGTAGAATGGCCCCAAAAGCCTATGCTTATTATTATTATTATTATTAGTATTATTATTATTACTACTATTATTATTATTCTTAAGGCTCCTATGTTGGACTCTGAGCATAAAGACCCTCAGGTGGGAGTTCTCGGGATGCAGATGGACCGCCTTGCATACTCTTTGAGTGGCGACCTGGCTGTTCGCGTGGTGGAAGAAGGCTCGGCTAAGCCGCAGTGGTACCCGTAACAGTGGCTTGGGGTTAAGGGTTTCAGGTTAGGGTTAAGGATTGTTGCGTGTCTAATGAAGACTTTGAGGATCTAGCACAGCTTAAGACTATACTAAACAATCACCTCAGATCCCGTTTCGGTGTTCGCCGTAGCCATGAACATCCTTGGAAAAGCTCGCCACAAGAAACGGACGCCTGGAACTCGAACACTAAACCCTAAACCCCTATGAACCCTAAGCCCCATAAACCCTGTAGACCATACAAGCCGTAAGCCCTATAAACCCCTGTAAACCCCAAGCCCTTAAACCCCTAAACCCTAAACCGCTAAACCCGTAAACCCTTATATAAATCCTAAACCCTATGGACCCTGAGGGGGTTTAGGGTTTCAGGGTTTGGGTTTGAGGGTTTTAGTGGTTTAGGGGTTTAGGGTTTTGGGGCGGAGGGTTTTAAGCTTTAGGTTTTAGGGTTTAGGGTTTAGTGGCGCCATGGTGCCGGAAACCAGCTGTGGCGGTTTGAAACTATCTAATCTATGCGCGGGTTCAAGGTTTAGGGGTGAGGCGTTGAGGATTGAGAGCTGGGGCTTGATCTACGTGGTGCAAGCATCAAGGGCTGAGGGTATCAGGTACATCAGTTTCCTTCAGCTCTTTCGCAGCAAAAAGAAGATGGAAGAGCCGCAACGAGAGGCGATACCAACTGCAACGAGAAGGACCCCAACAACAATAGCAACAACCACAACCGTGCCGATCAGACAGACAGCACAGTAAGCACGATCACACCCACCACCCACGTAGACCCCACCAGGATAACGACCGCGCGGACAATCCTAAGCCCTAAGCCCTATTTCCGAAGGTTCACCCCAAACCAAACCACTCAAAACCTCAGCTGCAAACCGTCATTGTAAACCTCTTATAGCACCACATGGGAAGCCTTCAGAGAAGTCTAAACCTAAACCCCAAAGCCTAAGCCCCAAACCCCAAACCCTTAAACCCCAAACCCTGAGCCCTAGTCCCCAAACCCTTAAACCCTAAACCCGAAACCTTATGCCCTTGGAGCCCCTGGGAGGCAATGAAACAGTCGTGTTGGACCTGACCATGCAGTCTGCGCCATGTGAGCGGAGCAAGCTTGACTCACTGGATGTGGCTTTCGGACGCTTTCCTCAGAAGCTCCTCGCCACGACCAACAGGTCTAGATCATGCAGTGAATCCAAATACATATTGTCTAGATATATATATATATATGCTTATATGCTACCCCCTCCAAAACCCACCCCAGAAGCCTGACCGATGAGAGTGTGCGTGTGTGTGTGTGTGTGTGTGTGTGTGCGCAGGTACATGTCATCGTGGCAGAGAGGTTGCATGGACAGTGGAACGAGGACACGTTTGTGACCCAGGATCATCCTCGCGCATGTACATAGAGACGAACTCGAATGCGGTCCGGTCGCATTCATGATCTACAACAGGCTATATCGGCCGTGCTAAGTTACCAGACAATCAGTCATGGTATTCCAAAACGCTCAGGCGGATTTCATGAACTTCTTCATGATAAACTGGCTGAGCAAGGAAGTGGCCTTCCATGGGTCTTCATTGTAAGACATTCTCCAGCTCAAAGTCTGGGAGACCGCTGACCTCGGGGTCACCCACAAGGGGATTCCGCACATAGATCAGCAAGCCTCAAAGGATTTGGCAAATAACGAAGTAGTTGGCCACCCCTTGCACGTAGCCCGTTGTTCTTCACAATCAGGTAGAATCAAACTGTCATCCAGAATCATCCAGCAACAGCTGGAAGTGTTCCAGTTGCTTTCTGTGGCAATGAAGTCAAAGGCGCGAAGATCACAGAGTCGAGGCAAAGCAGAGTGGTGTGGGCACTGAGCACCTGGAAACTGTACAAACGCGGCCAGGGAGCGAGTTGTAGAAAAATCACGGCAAAACCTCATCAAACGAGGCTGTACAAGAACTGAAAGCATATCTGAGCGGTATTGCAAAGCATGTAGCCATTGCCAGACACGGCGAAAGTGACCAAACCGTGAAAGCCACCCAGCAAAGTTGAATCTCGCATACTCGAGGTGGTCACGCCTCCAACAAAACTGACGAGCAGACACACGAAATGATGGTGCGGATCCACATGCATCTGTCATCCTCCAGGCAAAAACTGTATACAAGCACTGGCATGAACAAAGAATAAGATTGCCCGAGCAGTTGCAATTTGCAAGCACCACCACGGCAACAGTCGGTCGACATTGGCAATCTTCTTGGCCGAACACAGGTGGTGAGCCGTCGACACCCTCACCGTGGTCACACCCCTTGTCCCGAGAGACAATGCGAGTCGATGCCGAAGCGACCTGCATCTCCCCAGAATTCTCGCAGCCGAACTGTAACGAGTCAATGGCACTCAGGGTAAATGCCATCCGGAGTCATTTGTCACGAGGTACTCCTCGCCACCCAGAGGGTGGCCCCACTCCGGTGGGCCATGGGTCTTCATTCTTCATCCAATATTGGAATTGAGCCCCTTGGATCTGGGCGCGAAGGAGCTTGGAACCAGCTCCGGTGCTCTTGTTGAGACTAAGTCGGTCCTTGATGTACCTCCAGGCGCGATCGAGAATTTGGGTACCAGCCTTTGTCTTTAGCGTCTTGTTCTTGCCCACTGTGTGGGTCGTCACCTTGACATAGTTAGGCATCTGCCACTTCCACTTCCCGTTCACCTTCACCCTCTTTTTACAATGGACGACATTGTCGTGCTTGACCCCCTCGAGCCGTGTCTTGTAGCTACGGGCCGAATCCGTATGGAAGATGATGTTGCGTCCTTCCAGATACTTCTTACCCAGAGGCTGCCATTCAATCTTCCGGATGGGACCTGGTCCTGGGGCTCGCTTCTCCGTAGTGGGTGGCTTCAACCGCTCCAGGATCAAGCTTTCCGGTCGTCCCCGCTCGATCAAGCCGCACCATTGCTCCCACAAGACGGGCTTCTGGGAATCCACAGAATCATCGATGTTGCTGATGTCGGTTTTTGCGAAGCTGGCCTCGTCACCCTCCACGTCTACCCATGTCTTGCGACCTCCAAGTCGGATCTCCTTCTGCTTGGCAATGACATACTCCTGGCGTGAGTAAGCCAACCTAGTGGCCATGTCTTCCGTGAACTTGTGGTTGACGTTCATGACCTGATGCACGGCAGCATTGGAGACGTTCTGCAACTTCAGAAAGAGAACAGCAGCCTGTGTCTGCAGTGGAGTAGCCGAGGAACCCCGGCCATCAGTGAAGAAAGGATGAAGATGTTGAGGGGACTGTAGATGTGACACTTCTTGTGACTACAACGGTATTTGAGCTCACCTTGGGGGGACTTCATCAAGTCGGAGAGCGTCCCCTTCTCACACCTAGGACACTGCATACCGGACCAATCCGGCAGCATCTTATCCTTGATGAGCATGTGGACGATGTCATCATTCGACGCCTTGATGAGTTCTGGAAGGGATCGCGTGCAAGTAGCCTGTTCTTTTCGAAGTCCACGACCAGGAACAGCGCTCTTCACCCGGACATACTTGACGGATTGGTACTCCTTGGTCTTAGACTTCTTGCTGGCGGGGCGTTTGGCGATGAGGCGCTGTTTACCGCGCTTTGCGACCAGCGGGTTGAAGACCTGCGTCCAGCCATATGGTCTGTGGAGAAAGCAAGACCAGGGATCCTAAAGGCGACTATAGAATACAGCCTGACACTTCTGTGGACGGTATAAAGTGCTTCACAGCATCATCATGCCAGTACTAAATGACATGCGGAACAGGCAAGAGCACAACACCATGAATTTCGGACCTACGCATCGGTCAGCTCCTTCTGGCAACCGTTCCGTAGAACCCGGCTACACGCCTTCTGTAGCCAAAATCAACTGATCAGCACGCATCTACGTGGCCACTATAGAGGCCCTAGGCGTTCAGGTACTGGGCAGCTTCCTCGTCAGGGTCCTCCTGACCAAGATCATCTTCCCCCGGCTGAGCAAGAGTCTCCTGTTCATCAATGTTGATTGGAGCAGCGGGACTGGACTTGGTCTTGACCCTGCGGGCGGGGGTCGGGTACACGAAAGTACCCAAACGTTTGGGTGGCCCGGCTGCCGTGGCAGTCAAGGGCGTGCCATGGATGGTGGGAGGGGGTCCGGTGTCGGAATCTGAGCTAACGTGCTGGTCCCCAAAACCTGCAGGCAAGCGAAGGAAGCCAGGGATCTTGTCGCCGATGCGCTTGTTTGCCTGCTCTAAGTACTGGTCAGGGCTTTTGAACTGGACCATCGAAGCCATTGAGTCTTGGAGAGCTTTCTGCTCCGAAGCAACATCTTCTGCGAAGGTGGGCGGAAGCTCTTCTATCCCGATCTTGTACTTGGCATACTGCGGCTTGTCGCGAGGACTGAACAGATCCAAATGGATGTCATCGGTGCTAATGCGATGAACGATGGCGTCAGGATCTTGATTTGGCAGGCGAAGATACATGGCATGCTGTCCGAAGACCATGACAACGGAGCGCTTGAGGACAGCAAGAACATCGGCACGTTTATGACCAGCGAAGAACTTACTAACAAGCTTGAAGAACTCCTCCGAAGTGATGTTTTTCGACGGCCATTGTCGTTGGGTGGTTCGCTCACTTTCCAAGTCATTGGACGCGATGGCTCGCATGTTGTTACGAACCATCTTGACATCATTGTACCTGCCGCTGCAAGTTGCGTCCTCCTCCGAAGTCATCCAACTCTTGATATCGGACATGTTGAGCTTGTCAACTTCAGGATCGTGCAATATCAGAGCCTCATGAACTTGCCCCACACGATGGCGGAAATTGTCTAGTGATTTCGCGCGGCGCCAGGCCGGCTTCACACCATCAATTCCTTGGCGGCAAATGTGGTATCGACCAAGGGCCAAACCCATGACGATGAGCATGGGGGTTTTGTCAACACCAGGCCAACCCAGGGTGAGGATGCCATAGTTAAGCAGAAGCGGATACAGTATCGGCAGGAGGACATCAGCCATGAAGGGCTTGAGGCTCCGCGTCGTGAACGGGAAGAATCTGGCAGCAGTTGCACCGGCCTGCCCTCGCGCATTGTTCTGTGCCATGATGCGGGCCTTCGACTCCGGCCAGCCTGCTATGGGCGAGCCGGAGTCTGGCTTGATGTGCGTAAGAATCCAGACGTACTGCTGGTTCTCAGCATCGCAATCTGGGGCTCGCTGGTTTATGAAAGCGACACCTTTGTGAAGTTCATCAGTCTCCGGGTTCCACTGCGATGTTTCTGCACGCTTCAAACCAGTGCCTTTGGAAGAGATGCTAGCCCAATGAACGTGGTATCCTGGAAGACGATCGATGAGGGACTGAATGGCTTTCTTGAGTGTCCATGGCCCAGCCTTGAAGATTGGTACATAGCACTGGCCCCCGCACAGCTGCACGATCTGCTGGATGTTTGTCTTGTCCGCAAAGTACAACACCTTCACTATGTGCATTGCGCCGTCCTCCATATTGTGGACGACAAGCCCCAATTTGGAACCGTGCGGCAGCTGGCCTTTGAGGCGAATGTTTTCCGGTAGCTCATCTAAGCGGCTGTCCTGAATGATCTCACCCAGCCGGGCAACATTGCCGAACTCAGGAACATTCCAGTGGATGTCAAAGGCTATGGTGCAGGTCTTTAATCCATCCGGTCGTCTGCACACGTCAGCAACAAAATCGCTGACTGAGACAGGATGTTCTATGGCAGATGTGTGCACAAAGCCGCACTTCGGAAGGGATAAGGCCTCATACTGGTGCTCCTTGCCACCGAACTGGTCCATAGCCTCGTCCAACAAGTTAGCCATGGCTGCAGACTTTAGGCTAAACTAGAGGATTTCGTCTGATGCTGAAAACACCTTGCCCTGCAGGCGATGAGACGGAATAAAATGTGGTGCTCCAGCACGACGCATGCAGGATGAAGCAGCTCGCATCATGATGCTTTTTTTGGTGCCACGTGTTCCTGCCAATGCCGCCTATAACACACACTCTAGAATGCCTTGGACTTACCAAGACCGCCTGATGGTTCCCTCGGCCTACTCACTAGTCGGTGTCACAGTCCTCCTCCTCCTCCTCCTCCTCCTCCTCCTCCTCCTCCTCCTCCGACTCGTACTCTGCGAGTTTGCGCTTGGTCACCTGCAGCTCTTCTTCCAACTCCTTGATGATGATGTCCTTGTTGTAGATGTCCTCCCGGTACTCATTGTTCTCAGCCACCGCTTCATCCAGGGCCATCTGGACACGCTCGTAGTCCGAGAGAGCGAAACCTTTTCCGAGGAGCTCTCTGGGTCCGACGATGAGGAGGAAGATGATGCAGGCATGTTCTGATTTTCCACTTTCATCTGCTGCTCGTTGTTCTCTGGAGGGGGGTTGCCGTCCTCGATGGGGTTGTCCTCCTCGATGGGGTCGTCCTCTAAGGCCTGATGTGCTGGTTCTGGAGCTACGTCCATGAGGGCTGGAACTTTGTTCCGGATGCGCTTGGCTTTTCGCAAGAGCACGAGCAAGCGATGCTCCGCTTCTTTGTTCCAGCCGCCCTTGACAACTCCCACGGGCCGGCCCAAGCTTCGCATGACGGTGCTGATGTTACTGCGGTGTTCGTCCGATGTGAGGCCACGGCGAGTGTTGTGGAGAACGATGAACTCGCTGTTCACATTCCTCATGATGTCGCCGTGAGTCGGTGGCTTTGTCGCGTCAAGGTCTGGGCCTTGCGGAGCAGCCGCCGGGCCTTGTGGAGCAGCCGCCGCAGCAGCTTCCGGAGCCAGGCGAAGGTATGCGGCACCTTGGTGAAGCACCATCTCACCGGCCAGGCGCATGGGTAAGGCCATGCTTTGTATGTGAGGCGGGCAGGGATTTCAGTCACTACAAGCCGAGCACTGAGCGCTGAGAAAGATCAGCGTGGGTGAAGCAGACAGCATTGAGTAGATGAGAATGGGATAGATCGGAATGGCCCAAGTTCACCACTCATTGTTTGCAGCATGAAATTCTCTATTCGGCTTATGTAGTCGATCGGTGCACGGACGAAGCTTCTGCTCCTATGAGTTCATGAAGATCGCGATGGCTGCCCACAACACAATGCCGCCATCCACCTTCGTCTACCACTGCACCTCCCCGCTAGTGGCAGCTTACTGCTCATGTGATCCTTTTGGAAAGTTACGATGGCTGCCCACAACACAATGCCGCCATCCACCTTCGTCTACCACTGCACCTCCCCGCTAGTGGCAGCTTACTGCTCATGTGATCCATTTGGAAAGTCGCGATGGCTGCCCACAACACAATGCCGCCATCCACCTTCGTCTACCACTGCACCTCCCCGCTAGTGGCAGCTTACTGCTCATCTGATCGTTTTGGAAAGTCGCGATGGCTGCCCACAACACAATGCCGCCATCCACCTTCGTCTACCACTGCACCTCGCCGCTAGTGGCAGCCTACTGCTCATCTGATCGTTTTGGAAAGTCGCGATGGCTGCCCACAACACAATGCCGCCATCCACCTTCGTCTACCACTGCACCTCCCCGCTAGTGGCAGCTTACTGCTCATGTGATGGTAGCATAAGCCTGTGCTCGAGATATCAGTATTTCAAGATATTTCAACTACAGAAGATTGACGTCATATTCGGGCCAGTGGCAGCTGACTGCTCATGTGATGGTAGCACAAACTTGTGCTGGAGATATCAGTATTTCAACATATTTCAACTAGAGAAGATTGACGTCATTTTCGGGCCCGTGTTAATTAACACGGGCCGTGTTAATTAACACGGCCCCTAGGAACCAAGAACCAAGCACCAAGATTCCGAGAAAACTTTCTGGGTCAATCTTGGTTCCCAAGCTTGGGCCCGAGCCCGTGTTAATTAACACGGGCCGTGTTAATTAACACGGCCCCCAGGAACCAAGAACCAAGAACCAAGATTCCTGGAAAACTTTCTGGACCAATCTTGGTTCCTGGACCTCAACGTCAATATGGGCCCAAGCGCGGGAACCAAGATTGGCCCAGAAAGTTTTTCAGGAATCTTGGTTCCTGGTTCTTGGTTCCTAGGGGCCGTGTTAATTAACACGGCCCGTGTTAATTAACACGGGCTCGGTCCCAAGCCTGGGAACCAAGATTGGCCCAGAAAGTTTTCTAGGAATCTTGGTTCTTGGTTCCTGGGGGGAGAAAAATAAACACGGCCCGTGTTAACTAACACGCCCTTGGGCCTCGGAACCAAGATTCGTCCGCAAAGTTGTACAGGGCCTCATATAGGCAACTGTTGGCTTCATGCCGACTTTTTGGATATTTTGGGGTGGGGGGCTTCTACGGGGCCTCATATCTGTAACTTTTGGCCTCACGCCGACTTTTTGGACATGTTGGGGTGTTTTTTTTTTGGGGGGGGTACCATATATATATATATATATATATATAATTATAACTATAATTATAATATACAGATCACGTACGCAAATTTGTGTAGAGGTCCTCATGTTTTCCTTTTAACGCCCTTAGCCCTACTTGGGGGGGGTGTTCGTAAAATATCAGGGGTATTGTAGTCGTATGTATAGAGATCGTGTCACATATGTGGGTCCATTTTGTTAGAGTCCCATCATCTCTGTGATACTTAGACCCGAAGGTCTAGACCCCCGATCCTAAACCCTACATCGTGTACTGTCTCACGGTTTAACAGGTAAGGGTTTGCGATTCGAGTCAAACAGTCTTGACTGTAGAGGCTTTCCGAAAATGGGGGACCCTAAAATCGTGCCCTATATGGTAGGATCCTTATTATCAGGACCCCAGAATAATGCACGTCTGATTTTCGGAAAATCCCAAGCCCCAAACCCTTTACAGAACCCTTATAGATCCCTTTAAGGAGCCCTTTAAGGATCCCCTTCAAAGGTATCCCCAATTTTCGGAAACTCCCATATTTCAGGTATTGCTTCATGCCTCCACGAGGACGTCCCTCCCAAGGTTTTCTTGAGGCCGACGAGGGGCCCGCGGGGCGTTGGGGTTCAGGGTTTTAGGGGTTTGTGGTTTAGGGGTTCAGGGTTTAGGGGTTCAGGGTTTAGGGGTTTAGGGGTTCAGGGTTTAGGGGTTCAGGGTGTAGGGGTTTTGGGTTTACTGGTCTCGGGTTTAGGGGTTTAGGGTTTAGGGGTTCAGGGTTTAGGGGTTCAGGGATTAGCGGTTCAGGGTTTAGGGGTTTAGGGTTTACTGGTCTCGGGTTTAGGCGTTTGGGGTTTTAGGGTTTAGTGGTTCAGGGTTTAGGGGTTCAGGGTTTGGGGGTTCAGGGTTTAGGGTTTAGGGGTTTAGGGGTTCAGGGTTTAGGGGTTCAGAGTTTAGGGGTTCAGGGTTTAGGGGTTTAGGGTTTACTGGTGTCGGGTTTAGGGGTTTAGGGGTTCAGGGGTTCAGGGTTTAGGGGTTCAGGGTTTAGGGGTTCAGGGTTTAGGGGTTTGGGGTTTAGGGGTTTAGGGGTTCAGGGTTTAGGGGTTCAGCGTTTGGGGGTTCAGGGTTTAGAGGTTTAGGGTTTAGGGGTTTAGGGCATCAGGGTTTCGGGGTTTAGGGGTTCAGGGTTTAGGGGCATCAGGGTTTAGGTGTTTAGGGTTTCGGGTTCAGATCGTCGGAGAGATTCCCAGTCTAAATCCCTGCAGACCCTGAACCTTGATAGTAGGATCCGACTACAGTCCCTAGTTTGGGAGAGTTGGGTATACATGGGTGAGGCAGGTTTTGGGGATGTTGAGGAGTCTTAGGGGTAGTTAGTTTTTTTTTAATGTTTGGTTATTATAATCCCTAAGAAACAGCTAAAATTGTAATTTTTGCTAGGGTTCTATAAGTTCAGTATAGGAGTGTGATCTTCGGCTTGGGGTTTAGGTCCAGGTGCTCAGGTTTTATGGAGGCCTGCATTGAACACAGACGTCATCTACTTGCATCCCCCCCCCCGGCAAAGCCTACAATTACAAGCCAGAAGGCCTCTATTGAGGGTATCTATTGGCGGTCCTGGTACCCTAAACCCCTACACCCTAAGCCCTAAACCCCTAAACCCCTAAACCCTAAACCTTACACCCTAAACAACTGTTGTTTGCTGCGGTTCATTGCAGATTTCACCAGGGTAACAGTCTGCTTTGTGCCAAGAACCGCCTTTTCCCTTCCATGTGCGAGCCCGATGTCGGTTAGGCTTTGGGATTTACTGTCTGGTTCTTAGTAGGGCATGAGGGAATGGATCAAGGGGACTATTATTGGGGATTATATAGGGACTACTATAGGGATTCATTCCCCCATCCCTGCTAAGCACCAGGGAGTTTAGGATATCTAGGTCTTAGGGTTCACCTACAGCAGCCGGAACCCAATAAAAAGAAGGTCGCTAGTGCACAACCTGGGTTTGAGAGGAAGTTGCGTGGGAACCGCGTTCTCTTCAGTAAAACCTGGTTCTTCTTCAGAACCTAAGTTCTTATGGTAAATGTCGGGAATTCTTGCATTTATGTTGAGGTTTATAAAGGGCAATCTAGGGGATTCCGACGAACATCAGGGGCTTCAGAGAAAGTGTGATCCCAGCTCGGGCAGCGCATCGGCTCTTTTTGTCGTGACGGCCCTGATCACCGTCGATATGTCGCTGATGCCGGGGCCCCGATGCACCTCACAGAGAAGGGATGCTGCTTTCATAGATGTCATTTATGCATCTTTCTGTTTAGCTGTATCGGCTTCGCAGGCAAGAGTGCGATTCTCGCCATGGCTGAGCGGTTTTCGGTTGAAGGTCTGGCGACTGAGTGGGAAGGCTTCGAAAACATTCGGAACAGATTGCGTTCGGAAGACGGCCGGCTTGTGATTCGGAACGAAGATCAGACCTATGATCCAAGCAATCGTTTGGCTATCTTGAATTTGGATCTCCTCGCCCCCATGCTGGTTAGAATGACCCTCTGCAAACTTAAGATCCCGGACATCGAGCCGTTGCGATCAACGGTGCAGCAGGTTTATCAACTTGTGAGCAAGGAGCCATCTGACAGCCAAATCGACGACGAGGCATGGGCTCTTCGTCACCTCGTGGGCCATGTGAAGCGCAAGACCCAAAAGCAACTGGTTTCTTTGGATCCTGGGAATTTACATAATCTTCAGTCGAAATTCGAGGTTGCTGCTTTGTAAAATCTAGACAGAGCATGCAGTCTTCATCCTGGGCCAACTTAGGAACCGGATTTCCAAGACATGTGCCTGATTTTGAACCCCGACCTCGAGGATGCCTTTAAAGTGCGGTTCTGATTGTTGTGTTTGTTTTGTGTCTAGTGAAGCCCCGGCTCCTTAATTCATGGTGTTTGCAGGACCTGGTGCGAGAGATTCGGGAACGTGCAGAATCCGTCCCACAGCATTCGCCTGATGAAACACTGGAGGCTCAACATAGCCGTAGCACATGTAAAAGGTATACTCAGCCAATTTTTTTTGCGAAGCGATCAGCCCTCCTCTGAAGCAGGTGGCGCTTGATGACAGTCAGCCAGCTGGGGCTGGAGTTTTTGAGCCGGGAGAAGATTTGATGTTGGATGCTGCGCCAGCATCCGTGCCCGTACCCGGGCCAACGGTTCCCGAACCCGAGCCAACGTCGGAGCGCCCTCCAGCAGCCCATGTCACCGAGCCAGCTCCCGAAAGCCCAATCCGACCTTTTCCCATAGTTCCCAGGCCATCGAGACGCTCTGAAGCCCCCAGGCCCAGGCCCGAGACAACACGTGATCCCGAAGTTTCAACACGTGGTCCCGAAGCTGCCTCAACACATGGTCCCGAAGCTGCCTCAACACATGGTCCCGAAGCTCGATCAACACGTGGTCCCGAAGCTCCATCAACACGTGCTCCCGAAGCTGTGCCAACACGTGGTCCCGAAGCTGCCTCAGCTCCATCAACACGTGGTCCCGAAGCTCCATCAACACGTGGTCCCGAAGCTCCCAGGCCAAAGCCAACTCGTGGTCCCGAAGCTCCCAGGCCAACAGTTGTTGAACACCGGGTGGCAAGTGCTCCGGAACCTCCAGCCCCCGTGCCAACTTCTTGCGGGATTGGTGTGAACGCTGCTCCCAATACTCCCTCCCCGGTGCTTGAGCTACCCTCACCCGCTGCTTCTGTGATCCCTTCAGAGCCGAGTGGCCCTTCGATCGGCTTTAGCATGCTTTGACACAGCTGTTGCAAATATTACATCATGCATGGGTTTCGGGATTCCACGAATCTCACAATTGCTTATCCAAGGCAGCTCGAAGAAGCTCCAGCTCAAGATGCTGCAGGATGAGCTGAGAAAGTGTCTTGCTTACATATGATTCAAGCTCGTGTGTGTTTAATGCATGCATGGTGTTTACAAAAGAATCGGCTTGAAACGGCGGTGTTTGGAATGCTGTCGAAGTAAGATCTTGGCTGTTCTGAGGATTCGTGAGAAGCGAGCGAAGTATGACCCGTCCATGAGTTTGCAGCCGGAGGAACCCTCGCCAGGCCTTTAATTGTTTCATGTCAATCCTTGAAGCAAGTCAAGTACTCGATCCTGTACATTTTGCCACCCAGAAGCCAAGCCACTGTGAAGCCGGCGAGAGTGAGAGGCCGTCCAGAGCCCACAGCTGCAGCCGCGTTGGTGACGCCTCCTTGCAAGAACAGCATCGGGCGCTATGAGACGGATAATGCAGAGACGCAGCAGTTTGACATCATGGGGATAGATCTATCCCAGACTCCTGTGACCCCAGAGTTCAACAAGCCCCAGAGATTCCCGAGCACAACGTCCGTGGACACTAAGCGCTGGGCCTATCAGCATCCCAACGAACCGAAGCCAGAGAAGTTGTCAGAAGCACCCCCGGCACTACATGCTCAAGACGAGAAACCGTCTGCTGCACCCCCGGCACTACCTGCTCAAGACGAGAAACCGTGTGCTGCACCCCCGGCACTACCTGCTCAAGAAGAGTTGCAAGCTGTTGTCGAGGAGCCGATGCATGATGCTGAGGATGATGCTGTGCAGGATGATGGAGCTGCTCCAGATGGTGAAGCATCGCCTCCCACGAAGGCCTGCCAGCGGTTCTGCTTAAGCAATCCAAGGTTGTTGTCGAAGCTTATCTGTCATGCCTATACAATCTACCAGGTCAGCGATCTTCAGCTTCTAGCTTTTGGCACCCAGAAGATATACATCTCTCTCTCTCTCTCTCTCTCTCTCTCTCTCTGGTTATGTAGCCATATGTTTACATTATACATATTTCATCCATATTAGCTATTTCATCATGCCACTCTATCTGTGCTTGACAGGTTTTCGGAAGACGAGAGCAGCTTGGACTCAGAAAGAAGATCAAGGAGAGCAGGAAGAAGGCAGACCCGGCCGATGACCAGGGCAGCAAGAAGAAGCTCAAGCGCAAGTCGAGCAAGAGCAAACTTGCTCGCCTGAAGAAGATGCGCAGATCGCGCTCTTCTTTTGAGGACTTGGAAGGACCTGAGGAGCACGCGCCAGCCGAGGAAGAGGAGCAAGAGCCGCAGGCGAAATCCAAGAGCAAAGCCAAGCCGAACAGCAAATCCGCGCCGAAAGCCGAAGCCGCCAAGCCAAAAAGCAAATCCGCGCCGAAAGCCAAAGCCGCAGCGAAAAGCAAGGCGACACCGAAGGCCAAAGCCAGCCCGAAATGCAAAGCAGCCCGAAATGCAAAGCCAGCCCGAAATGCAAAGCCAGTTCGAAGAAGGCTTCGTCCTCGAAGTCTCACGAGGACAATGAGGCGGAGCCCGCCGAGAAGCCCAAGTCAAAGGGGGGGCGACCCAAGGGATCCAAGAACAAGGTCAAGGAAGCAGACAACGATGGCAAGAAGGCCCGTGCTGCCAGAGTGGCACCCAGCATCCGCCTGAACCGCAAGAGCGCCGACGAGACGCCCCACGACCCGGAGGATTACGACTACATCCTTCAGTTCGTTCACGACTTCGAGGATCCCGAAGCCGAGCTTCCGGTGCTCAAGAAGCAGGTCAAGGAGTGGAAGCCCCAGTGGACTTATGTGGCCCCGGATATCTATTGGGAGTGCGCTTTGACTTTCTACTATCAAGATGACGAGGGCACGGACTGCAAAAGCAATGTGGGCCACTTCCATTTCGCTAACAACAAGCCCGCGCAATTGGTCGCCATTGCCTGCAGCTACTTGCTAGCTGCTTGTCTGTAACGCTTATATACACTAAATGCCGCAAACAAAGCTGGTTGTGGAAGCGTTTCGCATCGCCTTGCTTGTCGGTTTGCTATATAGGGGTTGCTAAAAGGATTGTGTGGAAGGGCCAGAGCCAGCTAGTAGCTTAGAGGTTGTAGCTTTGTGTCGTCGTATCCCGCCCTGCAATCTTATCCTCAACACAGACTCGCCCACCTGCTCCGCCCAGGCTTGGTTCATCGAGCAGGAGAACATTTTGGACCCGAGGCACGAGGACATTGCACCCAAGGTGTTGTCCTTGAAGGCTGCTGGGTACAAGGCGGCAAAGGAACTCGGTGCCATGACTTAAACCAATCAGAGTGATTGCGAGCAATCCATTTCGTGATTGCCAGTTATTTTGCTGGAGCTGTCGATGCATAGCTCAGTACGGGGACTTAGAGTGCTGATTCTTCATGTCAGTGCTGCGCTCGCCCTGATGGCATTGTAGCAAGCTCCTAGCTGGCCTCACCGGGGAAGTGTTGTGGCCCGCTGCTAGCAAGTGCTGCGAGAAGGATGCCCAATAAACCCCATACAAGCCCTGAATTAAACCTACCTTATGCCCTACAATAAACCCTTAACCCTCTAAGCCATTAATTGACCTTAACAGAATCATGTAGAGACTTAATTGTGTGCTGGGCCTGAGGCAATATGTTATCGAGGAGCCGCCGGGGTTCTTTTCAATGTGGATGTTATATACCCGCGCTATATAGGTCTTATGTTGGGGACGGGACATCCTACAGCAGGCTTGCTCAGCTACCGAAGTGAAACAGCACCCAGCTTACGAGTCCAAAGCTGAAAAAAGTGGGGGCTGCAGAGAGCCACGCATGTCTTCTGTTGTGCCCTAGATTCGACGAATGCACTCGCTCCTTTATATATACTGCAATCCACTATCCTGCCCAGGTCCCTTCATGCCGCGACTGAAGTTCAAGGCACATGCCCGCCGCAAGCGCAGCCAGAAAGACCAGAAATGTAGTCAACCTGGCATATTGATTGCTTAATTTGCGTGCTCTTGCACTAAATCTTCCGCATTCCTTCAAGTGTCCCTTGGTTGAACGCTGCTGGCCCTCAGCCCTGAGAGCAGATAGAGTCGTGGTGTGTTTGTCCCCGGCCCGAACATGGTACCGGTAGATGCACTGGTGTACAAGCTCCTCACCTTGGGGGCTCCAAAAGCCGCTCGCTGCAGGAATGTCCTGAGTTTTGCACAATTTCTGCATAAGAAAACTGTTGCGGGGGCTTTCCAAATCTATCTGAGTTCTGTGTCTGTCTTAGGACTTCGTTGCTCTGGTGCTGCTGACGATTTGGACTACTGGCCTCTACGACCTCTCGGAGGCTGGTGGGACAGATGCAGACGTCGTTCTGTTGTGCGCGGAAACATAAATGCATAAGCTAGCTAGATTTAGAGGCCCAAACTGTGAGTGGCTGTTTGTACCCCTGCATAAAACCCCATGATACCCCCATGTGCAGTCCTTGGAGTGGATCGAGTTCTATGCTGGCTCAGCTCGGTGCACTTCAAAGGTGCGCTTGAAAGGTTACACGGGTGCCCGCTTTGACAAGACCTATCACACCCCCTCGCCGGAACGTCCTCAGTCATCCAATTTTATGGATATCAACAGCTCTTCTGGCTTTGTGAAACCTAGCTGCACGCAACAACTGTCATGCATGCTTGTTTAAGTCGTTATGTTGGTGATCAAATTTGAGCTAACTGCTGTGTGGCTTTGGCTACTCCCCTGATGTTGTGACCAAGGCTAGCTATAGTGGCTTTGCTGAAGTGCAAACCCCATGCTTTCGCAATTTGGCTGGGCATCAAATGCTCGTCTTGGACCAGCATCAACAGGGGAACATCGAAACGATGTGCTTGTGACCCATGGGGAGATCGAAGCCGACCTTCAGTTCGCGATGCTAACATGATGTTAGAAAGGCCGGGCTTTGGGCTCGAAAAGGTATTTCGATCTAGTGGGGTTAAACAAGATAGGGCTCTAGATATATTCATAGAAATATACTTGACTGCCTCAGGAGCTCCTGTCTCCTGCTTCTGGCTGTGGCCTTGGGGGGCTGCTTTATACTCGAGCAGCCTGGAGGATCGCTGCTGGAGTTTTATCCTACTTTCCGATTTGTGTTGACGGCGGTGGTGAGACAAGCTGGTCTGGGGGCCGTACGGATCTTAGTGTTACAGTTTGTACAGGACGTAGGCTGGGTTTTCGGAGGTTGCCAAGCTTTTCGGGTGAGTTCTACGGGGTTGCGAGGTTATTCGGTCTATCCTGGTTGCCGGCGAGGCCCGACGCCACAATCGCGTGTGATCTTCCTTGGGTGAAGTTGCTAGCTTAAGCCCTGCAGTGCTTTCAGCACAACACAAACGAGCAGGGCGACTCTGAAGCCGTCTTGCTAGAACACATGACCCGGCACTCCATCATGCATGGATTCCCTTGCTATCCCAAATCACACACATCGCTAGGTCACCCCATCGTTGCCCCGGGTTCCGCTCAAGCCCTGGTATAGTATACACACGAAACCAGAGTATTCACTCCGATCCTTACAACAAAGAACAAACCATATGTGTGCGCATATCAGTATATATATAGTGTGTGTGTGTGTATACACACACATATATATATGTATATGTATGTGGGCCCCCTAAACCCTATCTGTAGATACGCATGTATGTATATGTATGTACACACACATACATACATATACACATACATACACACAAGGATACATACACTCCCAAACCCTATAGAAACCCTGTGAAGCCCAGGTTGCGAGAGTCGGCTGGTGGATGGGTCTGTATGGCGGCACCTGTCCGAAGAGGCAGTATGCATTCAGCAACTCACACCATATCAGACGGCTGGACCTCGGAGTTCTCAAGAAAACCCACCGACTGAAGACACAAAGAAAGTATGCGAGCAGAACCATCACTGTAACCAGGAAGCGCCGACAGGATGGAACCGTTACCTTTACAGGCACAAAGGAACTGAAGTCAACAGAGACGCTGGGATTTAACTGCTAGCATTCTTTGCATGTAACGGGACTGGTTTAACTGTGTTATCCCATACCCACGTAGTATTGATAGATATGATATGTCCATAGGTATCTAGCACGAAATCCTGAAGTTAGTTGCCTTTGTGCCAAAGAGCATCGAAGATTAAAGTGGGCGAGGTTTGTAAAGGTTTCTATAGGCCTGTGTTAAGTTATAGCTATAACAATGGAAGGTGTTGGGTAGGTCTGTACGGGGTTAACTACCTACTTCGTCACGGCTCATGGGCTACAAGGTCGGGGTTTTGTAGGGTTTTGGTGCCTAATTAATGCACTAGCTTAGTCTAGTACCTGCTTTTCGGGTAGCCTGGCATTCGGAAACTGAGCTTTGTTGGGGCTTTGTAGAAGGCTTTGCAAGGGGTGCTTGTGGTTGTCAGTAGCAATAGACAGCCTGTTTAGTGCTTTAATTGGTTTGGGCTTCTAGAAAGTGTTATTCTGTTTACTAAGTTAATTTGTGCCTGCTCAGGATCTACCCAACGCCCTTTGCTGAAGCGGTGGCAGACATCTTCGAGGATTTGAGGTCGTCGGCTATGGGTTGCCCCGCAGTACCGGACATGCCTAGTGGATCGGGTCTTGAAGCCTTTAAAGCAGCGCAAACGCCAGCAGATGTGCAGCGGCTCTTCCGGCAGGCGGACCTTAGGTCTGCCTACGATTATATGAGAGGAGGAACCCATCTACAGATCCCTCCTGAGTGGAAAGCCCTGTTCCCTGCTAGACACAGAAAGAGGTCTTGAAGCTAGGGCAGGGTCGTTTCGAAGGAACGCAGAAGCTCCCGACCAAACCGTGGGTTATAAATTCTCCATAACCAATCGATCATAGTCCGGGCCCCGGGCCCGGGACCGTGGGTTAAGGTTTTATAGAGGGCTGCAGGTTCTAAGTTGGTTTTATATAGCTTTTAAGCAATTATTATAACTTTTTACTAGTTAGAATGTAGGTTTTTAAGCCCAAAACCCATAATTACCCGTCGGGAACCCATAAAAAACCCATCGGAAACCCATAAACACATTACAAGAACCTGGTTTTCATACAGAACCCACTTTTTGAGAACCCATAAATAAGCGTCGGGAACCCATAATTACCCGTAGGGCAAAAGTAGGTTTTTATAAACCCCAGTTATGACGCACTTAAGCGCAATTTTATGGCTGGTCGGGCATTTCTGCGAAACCTTGGCCTCAATTAGGCACCGCCTGGCCGATTGTGTCACCTGAACACTTTCGAGCGAAACCCCAAAAATGCCGACCTAAAGCTTCGGGGCAGCCTGCTGTTGCCTGATGGACTTACCAGCTTCATTTCCTTAAGGACTCCAGTGTGCTCAAGCCACGGTAGTGGAAGCAAGGCAGCCAGCGAGGCTGCGCGTCGATCCGTATGTCGAAGGCATGGAGCTGCCAGACCCTGGCAGTGGGATATGAGCAGGTTATGCGGGACGCGGAAGAGGAGCAACTTCTTTCTGACGAGCAAGCTCTGCTCAAGAAGATCAGAGCACTTCGCTTCAACAGCCATGCACAGTCTAGATATATGCATTGTCTGAACCAAGAAGATGGATCCAACTAATCCTGTTTCCCACTAAGATGCTTGAAAGCGAAGTGGCAGCCGAGCCAGCGGAGAGCCCGGTCCCGCCTCCTCGATCATCGTCGCCCGAGGCCGTCGAATCCGCCTGTGCATGCTTTGTTAAGGGACACACGCATGTAGTGCCGCAGGCTGGTAATGGCGCTCAATCCATGGAGACTTTGACTGTGCCCGCCACGGTCCCACTGTCGTGTTTAGCACAATGTTTAAGTTTACCCAAGTCAGGCAGCATTCTCTACGATATGTCTCATGCCAGGAAGAAGAGCTGGCCGAGATGAACCATGATCTGCGAGATGATGAACAGGTCATTATAGTTGTTCTTGCCGTGATAGCATGCTCGTCCTATCTAAGTCAGTTGTTGGTCTCCTGTGGCAGGAGACCAACAACGATGAGCATGAGCCACCCTCGGACCCCAACGACACCGACACAGCTGAGAAGGTTTCTGCTTCCGCACGACCATCGAAGCGCAAGCGAGCCAAGACGAGACGTGTGCCTGTCCTGCAGCCCAGTCCGTTGGTGCAACCCTTTCGATTGTTGTGGAGTTCACACAGCTTGTTGCAGGAGCTGCTTCAGGAAGCGGCCAAAGCGAGAATCGCTCGTATGACCAAGCCGAAGCGCAAACGTACAGATCTGAATGTGCCGCAATTTGTGATCGACAAGTGGAATTCCGGTACGAATGCCAAAGACGAAATGGCCGAGTTGCTGTTGCATCTCAACAACAACAAGGAGCATGTGACTCTGATATAGCTGTATGGCAGTCCCTCAACAACACGCCTGGCATGACTTGTTCATCCTCCCACCCTGCAAGGATAAGTTCATCGAGGAGCTCGAGCTTATTATCAAAAAAATCAAGAAGTTCACCCTTCATGTCGATGAAGGGTGGTATAGCGAACTGGAGATGAAGACCGAGCTCAAGTGGTCTCCGCCCGGAGCTTATTTCGGAAACTTCAGGGTTAATCTAATGAATGTAACAGGTGCTTCAACGCTGCCTCGTTCCGTAGGCAGAGGATCGCCGGTGCCAAGAAGCTTTGCGAAGCGAACCCTGACCTGGTCAGGACTTCTTATGCAGCCATTAGCTAGCAAAGCTCGTGGACGGGGGTTCAACTGAATCGGGTCTTGTTCATCTGAGCAGGAGCAATGTTTATGATGGTGTCAAGGAATACTATGTCACAGTCAGAGAAACTGCGAAGCATGTTCATGCTCACGAGCAAGAGCAGAGCCAGCGCAAGAAGATGAAGGCCCCATCCCTGCAATTGCACAATCAAGCTAAAGCCCTAACCAAACCCAAATCATCCTTAAGTTTCTGAACAGGCAGAAGAACCCATGGAGTTCAAAAAGGACGAGTTCGACTTGCTGGACAAGGCCAAGGCTCGCTCCGGAGTGCCGGACCGCGGGCAGCCTGCAAGTGCAGGGAAAGCGTCTGTGCACGAGGCCCGGGTCCAGATGAGGGTTAGTGCTTCAAGATGTTTAGACATTTTCAGGATGTTATCAGATGCTATAGGGATCCAGGGGTAAAGGGCCTATATAGGGTTTATAAAGGGCTTATCTAGAAGCTTAGGGGTTTGTATAGGTTTGGGGTGTGTGTGTGTGTGTGTCACTGTTGAGCTGTGTGGCTGATTGCCTGTGTGTGTGAGTGTGTGAGTGAGTGTGTGTGTGTGTGTGTGTGTGTGCGTGTGTGTCTGTGGTGTGTGTGTGTGTGTCGGTGTATGTACACGTGGGCCTCTTTGTGTCTGTGTACGTATGTATGTATGGATGAATGTGTATATGTATATGTATATGTATATGTATATGTATATGTATATGTATATGTATATGTATATGTATGTATATATATATATATATGTACATATATGTATATGTATGTGTGTGTGGGTATGTGCATCCATATCTGTATCTCTGGTTCTCTCGCTTTCTCCCTCTCTGTCTCTCTCTCACTCTCTTCTTTCTCTACTCTACTCTGCCCTTCTCTTCTGTTCTCTCTTCCATCTCTCTCTCTCTCTCTCTCTCTCTCTCTCTCTCTCTCTCTCTCTCTCTCTCTCTCTCTCTCTCTCTCTCTCTCTCTCTCTCTCTCTCTCTCTCTCTCTCTCTCTCTCTCTCTCTCCCTCTCACTCACCCACACACACACACCAAACAAAACCAAAACGAAAACACATGCTTTCACACACGAACACCCGCAGACACACCGCACCACACGACAGGTGCACTTGGCAACACCGACATAGAGACAGAGAGAGACAGACAGAGGAGTTGCTTGCACAATCGTACTAGGCATTTCCCGATGTTCCCTCCTACCCTGGCAGCAAAAAGCCACTGCGGACCGCTTCCTGGAGTCCATCCTCGCCAAGACGACCAAGCTGCGCCAGTTGCTGAAGGACCTTCGCTGCAACTACGGTGCGGATGCCACGGCGTGGTTTTCTTAGATCGGCTTAATGCAGTAAGTCACACCAGGAGACAGTCTGTGATCATGTCATAGTTACTTATCATGAACCATGAACGGACTAGTCAGGTCGATCAGCCAGATCGAAGATCACATCAAGAAATTGGATAGCGAATACGAGAAGGTGAACGAGCTGAAATCCAAAGGGGAGGTGGACGGCTACGACCCGAGGCCAGGCTAACTTCTTAATACGGCTGTCGGGAATCGGGTGTTTGATGCGCCCTCTCTGTCTGTGCCCATACGGTGTGAATCTCCAAGCTATGAAACCTGCACGCCAGCACATGAAGATGAACATATCTTGATTTCCCACATTGAAGCTACATCGTATGTTATGTGACCTGTCGCACGCAGCTGGTGGACCAACTTGGAGAGCAAGATGAAATCTGCTACAATGGTGCCGCGAGCTTACCTCTGTAGCGAGTTACCAGCGAAACCCTTCAATCCTCCAACACACAGTTGGCCTTCCCACCTTCAGGGCCAGCCGTGCCACGGCCTGCGAGTTGCAGGTGCGGCACCTCGGCGGATCAGAGTGTCGGGCCAGTTGTCTCATGTTTTGGGCTTCTCTTCCCATACTCACGCTCAACTCAGGAACGCCAAGAAATTCTTCGGGAAGAATGCCCCTGGTGCTCCTGCTCCTGGCGCAACTGCACCCAACCCGAGATCCAAAGCCCCTAAGGCCAAGGCTAAAGCGAAGCAAACCTCGAAGAAGTAGCTCGCTGCGGTCGCCTTGCATGACTTGCGAACATAATAGTATGTGCAGCAACTATGCTAAGTGTTGTGTTGTGCACTTCGCACGAATACTTTCCTGCCCGGGCCAGGTGACTAGTTTGTCGATCTAACTTAAAGTAGGATAAGCAGGCCCGCTGCGCAAGTCATGTCAGATGGGGAGGGAAGCTGGAAGCGATAAGCATTTGGCCTCCACAGCTTCGTGATGTGATTGCTGATGCCGTGGTCCTTGCCGCGGGTTTACGAGCACACGGCTGTAAGCTTCTAGGCTATTTAATGTCTATATATAGTGACTGATTCTAACCATAGCTACACAAGTAGGGGAGCTACAAGAAAGACTTGCTTCCCACATGTGCCGGCCCTGGGATGCTTCAGCCGAGAGTTCTTTTGGTTTTCCTGGGAGTGATGCGGTCCTGTTGGGGCACTCAGGATCTGACGGAAGCCTAGGGACCGCCTACGTTCGGCTGAGTTGTGCTCTGCAGAAAACACAGACTTCGATCACAAGTGGCTTCAAAGTTTGCATGTGAGCTGTCCCAGAAACACCAAATCCTGAGATATGAACACATCTTGCCCCGCATGCCAGAACCTGGTCCAGTGGCGAAGCAATGCTTTCGTGTGATCGGAGATGGCGCCCGGAGCTCATCATCTGCCAGCCGCTTCCGAGCCTTCAGAACATGTTCTGTGAAATCCGACTAGGCTGAAGTTTAAACTGTCGTGTTCAGCTGCAATGTGAAAGTCTGGCCTGGCTCAAACTCAGCTGGGGAGTTGTTTAGGGTGTTTCGGAGTGACATACCCAATGTTATTATGGAGCCTCCGGAGTTTGAGCTATGGGATCTTCTGACATGTCATCGCTCCGTGTTTCGGCTGCAAACGAGGTAACCTGGAGGTAACAGGAACAACGTCATGTAGCAACCCCATATCCATGATTGCACTCAGGCTGACGATGCTCCATTCCCGTGGCCTGACCCATCGTGCGTCGACGAGGCTGAACGTGCAAAGGCCTGCGCAACCCTGCCCACTGCACGGGTCGTGCCTTCACCCCCAAAGCTTTCAGCAGCTTGGAAGCCAGCCTGGGAACGGCATGTTTCAGATTCTGTTTTGGCCGACAACGAGATAGTGTCTGTGCTTCGGGAAGTGGATGAGCATTCAGACATAGAGTGGCGCTTGGCTGCCCGGGCAACTACTGCAGGGGGTATCCTCAGCCACGCAATCCATATCGTGAATCAACTGCTACACCGTCATGCTCCTATGATTTTCAAAATAGGTTTCACCCACAATGCCTGCTGGCGCTGGGAGAATACCATTTATGGTTACAGGTGGCAGCGGGAAAAGTGGGAGAAGATGTGTTTGTTACACATCGCCGAAGAACCTTTCAGCCTGGCAATGCTCGAAGCCGCCCTCATCAATAAATTTCAAAGAGCCTTAGCCGATTTTAGTTATTGTTTTTGAATGACCCCAACCCCTTAAAACTACCGACTCTCCTAGCTACCTTCGCCTATCATCCCTGAGGCACGCCTGGCTGCCGAAATACTCGATCCGGCGGAGATAATGTGAGGACGGATGGGGCCGCCTCGGTGAGTGTGTACATGACATACATTGTGTACAGATCTTTTAAGCACAAGCCTGCTTGATTGATGATTGAACAGGGGCTGTTCTGCAAGGGCGTGTGTCACTTCCAGACACAGCTCGCAGCAACTTAAAGTTTCTCGCCTATGGGGAACGAGCGTCAAAACTGCATGTTCATGTGCTAGTGATCGATCATTGCTGGCAAGGTACTTTTGCATCATGAGCTTTCTATTGTGCAAGCTGAAGTTGTATTGCATTCCCACGAACGACAAACATAAATCTGTTTTGGGCCTTGCCGAGGCCTCTTGCAGCTCGGCCGTGGAGTCGGCCCGGGCTGTGGTCGAAGAAATGCCAGCTGCAGCGACTGCTTCAGTGCGACGTGTTGCTAAGTGCTCCGTACGGGATGCTGAGAGGGACATGCATAGATTGGGGGACAAGTTTCGGTTGAGACTTGGGGTGCGCCTGAGTCGAGTGCCGCTGCTGCAAGAGATGAAGATCGCCATACTATTCATGTCATCCTGGATCAATCTTTTTCTTCAGAAGAACTTATGGTACTTTCTTTGTGGCTTGGACGAAGCGAACGAGGAACGATGTGAGCGACAGCTGGAATTGTACTGGGAACGTTTTCGTGGGATTGCTCCGCAGCACCCAGTGTTTCAACGTTCGCCTTCGGACCTTCGCCGGACTTGTCCGGTCCTGGTCCACGGAGACGAGGGCCGGAGTGCCAAAAAAACAGCATTGATGGTGCTGTCTTTTCATGCTGTCCTGGGGCGCGGAAGCTCTCAATCTTCTGAGAAGGGGCCTACCTGTGCCGAGTTCCTGCCACAGGAAATGAACTTTCTTGGCCATACTTTCGCTACACGGTACTTACTTGCCGTATTGCCACGAGCCATGTACGATGATGCCCTTGCAGGGAATTTCCAACGACTTTTGGGACATCTGGTTCCGGATATGCGAAGCCTTTTTGAGGAAGGGCTGCTATCTCCAGTCTACAACAAGAAGTTTTTTGTATGCGTCGTGAACATCATGGGGGATTGGCCTTTCCTGGCCAAGGCTTTCAATTATAATCGGACGTTCGGCAATTCAGCCAAACGTGAATCGTCCAAAAAAGCACCAACAGGGATATGTCATGCTTGTTTGGCCGACAGGCCAGGCTTCCCTTTCGAGGATTTCGAATCCAGTCAGCCTCGATGGCGGCAGACGGTGAACGTTCTACCTGCCTACGACAGAACGCCTGTTTTGATGACGTTGCCACACGATGCGGCTGACCCTTCCGGCTTCGCAGGCCAAGACTACTTTCACGGGTTTCATCTCGGAGCCGGAAAAATCTTTGTCGCATCCGTTCTTGCACTTCTCCAGTACACCTTTGCAGGTGACAGTTTCAAGGTCCGCTTCAAGTCAATGGAAAGTGCATTCTTCGACTGGTGTCAGCGTCATCGTCAGTTTCCTTATATCCGCAAACTGAACCAGGACACGCTGGTTTGGCCTCATGCGACAGAGCCAGCAATGGGCGGGTGGAGCAAAGGTTCCACTACACTATGTTTGCTACGTTGGTTCGTTTGCTTTTGCCACCAGAGCAGAGATACGATCCCAGAGGATTCCTTGTTGTTTCTGGCATGGCAGGCAGCATGGCAAATCAACAAGTTTTTTTCGATGCTGTACCGCGAGAAACTGTGGATCATCGCTTCGAGAGCAAAGGAGATAGCTGCACATGGGCGGGCTTTTCTGAAGTACAACGGCCGCTGCGCCAAGCGCGCTTTCGACGAGAACTTGCCGCTGTTCATGTTTATGCCTAATTTGCACAGACTACATCATTTGATGATGAGGATGGAAGATCAGGCTGAAGTTTCGGCCTTTGTGCAGAACGGCTTGATGTGGTCATGCCAAATCGAGGAGGATTTTATCGGAAGGCCCTCGCGACTGAGCCGGCGAGTTCACCCTCGCCGCGTTATCGAGCGCACATTGCTTCGCAGTCTGACAGCGGCTCATAGGCAGTTTCGAAGTGCGGGGCTTCTCCACGGCAGCTGACTGTGTAAACTCATTTCAGATCATGAGCATCAGAATGCAAAATGAACATACATACTTGTTTTCGTCGACACATAAAGACTTTGCAACTGTTGTGGACAGCTCACGCTCTCACTGCTCAGTGCGCGGCCCAGAATCTCGGATCCCGGCAGCAGGCGCGTCGAGCCACAAAAGTTGTGTGGAGCGAGCTTCTAAACCACCCAATGAGCTCAATTCAGCTCATCCAAGCATTGCAATCCTATGTCGAGCAATACCCCGATGATCCCCGAACTCCCAAACAGACCTATCTTCATCGAATCAAGCTCCTGATTGCTCAATCTCAGCTGATCCAGCTATAGCACTCCTGCTACAAGCAACACCCCGATGACACCTGAAATACAAAACCTAACACCCTGATGATCCCCCAAAACACAAGAATCGCGTTCTTTCTTCAAGAACCTGGTTTTCCCAAACAACCTACCTTTTTAAGGGGTCTGGAGGGTGTAGGCAGGGGCTAGGGCACACTGCCTTCAATAACCCACCTCCTTTCTCCCTGACAGGGTCCGCTCTCGAAGGTTGCATGCTGCTCTGGACAAAAGGATGCGAATGTCTGCTTCGACGAGTTTTGGACCCAGGACAGGTGCTGCAAAGATGCCGAGAAATCGAGACAATCTGAACTTGAAGCCTTGTCTTGCGCGAAGAAAATGCGGAGAGCTCTCTCCCTATGTATGCTGGACGAAGGAAGTCTGGGCGGCTGCAAGCAGAAACTTAGATCCCGAATACCCAACCTTTAAACTTTTTGGGTTCTTATGGTTTAGTAGGAATCGGAAAGTTTAACTTTTTGTTGCTGTGGCCTTTTAGGGGAGTAAGGAAAGGTGATGCGTGCCAATGCCCGGCCATCATGTTCAATGCTCAGGCCTGGGCGCACAAGGTCAATGAGCTGAGCAACGACTTCAACCGTATTCTCTGGTGTCTTACAGGCTTCGGCTCATGGGTAGTTATACATGGGGTAAGAAGTCCCCTAGTATGGGTTATAACTGTAGTTACCCTACTTATAACCCCACATATACCTCCCCATGAACCTCCAAGTAGGCCCTACACCCTATACCCCTTATAGATTCTCTATAGACCCCTTAAAGGGACCCTTAAAGGAACCCTTATAAACCCCCCTATGAACCTCCAAGTAGCAGGCTTCAACACCACCTATGTCATCGACCTTTTCATGGCCCAAGGCCATACTTCACATGTTTTGGCCCACGGGCTGCAGGCGCATCTAGCGAGATGGCAACTGGGAGGCTTCGAAATGCAGGCACACCTGAGCCAAAATGCTGCTGACAGCCTCCGCACCTTCGGCTCGGCCCCTCAGCTACTTCAGCTCATGCAGGGGCTTTAACAATTTTGGATCAAGCAGGCTTTCTTGGTGGAGTATACCATAAGCATAGTATGGAAGCCTGAGAAGTATAAGTGTAAGGAATAGTACTAGTCAGAGATATCAAGCTTCTGTATTTCTCCTCGTCCAGAACCGGTCCTGTGATTTCTAAGCTGCCAGCTGAAGTGCAGCAACGGCTTCTCCGAAGCTTCATCCGAACATACATGTGGTTGTCAAAAATATTCAAAGGATCATGGGACTTAGTAATTGGGGTTACAAGTAAGGTAACTACAGTTATAGTTACATATAACCTTGATTAAAATACTTGTAACCCTACTTACTAAGTCCCGTGCTCCTCCAAGTAGGGTCTCTTTTTGGCTACCCTTCTTATTAAGTGCCGTATTGTACTAGGGACCCCAAAGAGGGACCATAATTTTGACAACCACCCATATCAAGAACATCCTGCAGAGGTGGTGCATACGACTTCCGAGCAGTGCACCCAAACGCAAGCGCAGAACAGCCAGCAATCTCTGGTCATCACTGGGCGTGCACCTAGGAGCGGAGAGCAGCCATGGACTAAAGCTTCTTAAGATTCCGGGTTGTCCTTCGGGGTCTTGTTTCATTTCCCCTACTATTTTGTAGAGAACCATAATAGTAAACACAATCAAAGGGCTTAAAGGACAACTCAGGATTTGAGGACTAGGGTTCTATAGGGGGTTTAGGCTTTGGGCATTAGGGTTTGTAGGGCTTATAGGGTTTATAATATAGGGTTTGTAGGGCTTATCGGGTTTACAGGGTTTGTAGGTTTTGTGGGGTTTCTACGGTTTACAGGGTCTAGGGTTTAGGGTTCAGGTAAAGTTTCCTAATCGGGGCTGGCTGGTTTTGGGGGTCTGTAAGATGGCAGGGATACGTCTGTACCATGGTTCCTCGGCAGGCTCGGAATATTATTTCGTTTGCGCCACATAGTTTTTACTTCGGATGCATGAATGTGGCGCCCTCTAGTCTCTAGTACCCTTGCAGAATCCTTTTATAAGGCACCCTTCCAGTAGCCTTGTAGTATCGTTTGTAGGAGCTCGTCTAGGAACCCCATATCGGCAGGACTGCCGAGGAGGCCTCTTGCTTACAGCTACTTTGCCCACGTGATGCAGATCTGGTGGTTTTAGATCCAGATTACCAGGTGGGCGTTTGTACTTCACCATGCGTGACCAAAACATGTTGAAGTTCACAAGCCTTCACAGTGATATCAGTGTATAATTTCCCGCGAGCTAAACACCATTGTAGTTCATCAGGCCCCTGATTTCAGACCCCGATAAAGAAGCCATGCTAAACCTTGTGTAAGACTCCGGGCAAAGAACATTGTAATGTTTCAGAGCTTTGAAGCTTTAGAGAGCCCTATTCCCACATTCAGGCTAACTAAATGGTGTGGGCCGTATTGTTTTTTCGCGCAGGGGCGGGGGGAATTCCACAAACACCTCAGCATCATTTTCAGTCCCAGGTGCTCATGCAGGAGGAATTGCTTCTGCTGGAGCGTCTCTGCCATCCCAGGATCTATGCTGTAACTCCGCTGTGAGAGAGGTTTTCGGGATCAGGGTACTTACTTCAAACTGGCCAAAAACTAATCTCTTGCAGAGTCTGTATAAGTGGATAAGAACCTACAAAATGGAAGACTATGGTAGTTTGAGGCAGGGTTTGCGGTGCGGTTGTTTTGCACCATGGGGCATTTTGCTCAAGTCCAACAAATGCTGAAATTGCGCACTTTTCTAGGTGTTTGAATACTTCGTTGAAATCTAGTACACTGTTTGCCGCCACCCTTTTGGTTCGGCATCTCATAGTAATTGGTGCTCCTGCAGCTTCTTTCCTCCATTGTTCCCTGTGCCATGCCATCCAGTATGGCAACTGCATAAGACTGAACTGTACTCTGGTTTCACTGCAGGCACTAAGCTGCGTTCCGGCAGTTCGATTTTGCTACTCTGGATTGTGCTGTGCTGCACCAGGTTTGCTCACAGAAAGTACTGCATCGCACTTCTGAAACAGAAAGCATGTTGTGTGTAATCCGCACGTGCCACAGTAAATGGATCTGTAGGAACTGCAGTAATGGCCTGCAATGTCGCACTGTGTTGTTGAACCATGGCCTTTCAGAGTGCCATGTAGATGGGAACAACACAGTTCAGTTGTGTGCAATCCAGCTGCAGAAGCAATCGTCGTGCAGTAAACAACAGCTCAGCAGAACCGAATGATCTGGAATGGAATGGACCCAGCAATGTTTTATCGTAGTTGTATCGCCGCTGGTGACACTGAAGCGCGAAAGATACCACATTCTCGGTTAAGTTGTGGATGGGTTCGATAGTTCGCATGAGGATCGTTCATACGGCCTTCCGCGGACCTGTTGCGTAGCACGTTATTGCTGGAGTCGACGAGTCGTCCAACGTCAATGTTCAGCAGGCTGACGCGACATGTAGTCTGTGGTCAGCAAAGACTACAAGTTCACTACAAGTCTACCCAATTTAGATGTTTCACAGTTTATCGCAAAACCACATTCGAGATCCCTGAACAGCAACCTAGTAATTAGTCGAGTAGGTTACCTTTTTCTTTTTTGGGTAGCATAGTCCCAATTTCATCCCTATATGACCACAAAGGATAGCCTTTAGTTTCCCATGATACCCGACAAGTTGGGCAAAAAAGCCGTCCGACCAATGAACAACTCTCAGTCTTTGAGTGCATCGCCGTTGTCAACTTAAGTAGCCAGAGTTGAAAGATCTCGCGGTCGTTTTTGTTGATGGTTGCCTCGCTTGATTCCGCCATGAGGTGAACAATGTCAACCTCGCTGCACATGGAAGCTTGCTTGCTATTGTCACATTTTGCGTGTAGCTTCGGGGATAAGAGCTTACGTTAGAGCTTGTCTGCGGGCACATGCTGACCTCCTTTCTTCAACGGGCCTTTGTGCAGCACCTGCTGAGTTTAGATCTGGCCGTTGTTTTGTGGCACAGCCGAGGAGGGTGGATCAAGGAATACTTGCTCAACCTGGATTTCGTAGAAGTGGCTCGAGGCTCAAGCCCGGACTTCAATGCCCAGGCAAACGCGGATGCAGGCAAAGGGAAACTTAGTAGAGAATTTAAGCTGTTACCTTTTTTTGGAGGGGGGGGAGAACTAGAGCTTCTAAGTGCTGCAGTCTCCTCTAACCCCAAATATTACGCACAACCATCCTTAGATAATCCCGACAGCTTACCCTTAGCTTCCCTAGGATACCTTACTTAGCCAATTGGAGAACTTTAAGCTTTTTGGGCTTTACATGTTCGGCCTATCTTAATAAAAAGTGTGAACTTTTTTGGGGGGCCTGGTTATTGGAGAAGAGACCCCACTCAGAAATAGTTGATAAATATTCATAATATAGATTTGATATATTAGGATCTTCATAGTAGCCCTATTATGGACTCTTACTGTCTGGGGGCAGTACCTAACCTATACATCCTAACCCTGGACCCCAAACTCTGAACCCTGAACCCCTAAACCCTTATAGATCCCTTGAAGGAGCCCTTATCGAACTAATTGGAGAAGAGAGATACTGCACCCTCCCTAAACCCTACACCCTAAACCCCAAACCCTAAACCCTTAAAAAAAAACTAAGGAACCTGCTGGCGCTCAGCCTCCGTTCCTGGTCCATCTTGATGCGGAGCGAAGCTGCGTGCAGCTTTCCGTGACAGGTGGTGTACAGCGTAATATTTAGTACAGTAGACAGTATACCTAATAGTAGTATACAGTATGATACGTATATATATATATATATATATGTATACACATACACATACTGTGTATGCCTCTATATATACATATAGACAGACATTGCAGGTGCTATATGTACACATATGTTTTTTTATGTGTATATATATATATATATGTATGTATTCATACATACACAAAGCGAGAGAGAGAGAGAGAGAGAGAGAGAGAGAGAGAGAGAGAGATAGAGAGAGAGAGAGAGAGAGAGCGACAGAGAGTACATTGTATTTGCAGTATGAGTATTCCTTTTCGGAAGCTGGCCGTGGAGCTCTACGCTTTCCGCTGTGTGGCAGCCAGGTGTAACAAGCCACAGCGGTTTTAGGGTGTAGATTTCAATGCTTGCAAGGTTTAGGGTTTCGGGTTTAGTCATTAGTTCAGGGTTTGGGGTGTAGAGTTTTAAGGCTTGCAAGGTGTAGGGTTTCAGCCATTAGTTTTGGGTTTGGGATGTAGGGTTGTATGGTTTCGGGCTTAGTCATTAGTTTACGGTTTACGGCCTGCTTCGGGTCCGGGGTGAATTGTTGAGGGTTTAGGGTTCGGGTCAGTGAAGTTCACTTGCAGCCGTGGGAATGAGGGTTTCAAGGTTTTTCGATATGGGGAGAGACAAACCTGACGCCGGTTTCCTGTATCAACACCTATCCTACAGGGTCCATATACACTACTATGATGGAACTAGGTCCCCAAAACCAAAATGGGGATGGGCCTTATTCCATAATAGTAGTGTATATGGACACTCTGGGTATATCGGAAAAATCGAGGGTTTGTTGCAAAGTTATGCTTTATGATAGTATGTGATAGCATACTATAGTATGTTACAGTAATGTTATAGTGGGTCACTGTGCTTCCGTACATAATCATAGAATACCTTAAACCAACGACCCCCAAACCCTAAACCCTTAAGCCGTATTTACCCCAAAAAACGTGGATCTGGGCTTCCTTGGCTAGAAATTGAGCTCGGAGCCTCACCAGGCGGAGGAGCGGCCGGGGAATCTCCTGGACGCTGTGGCCAGAGAGCCCCATACTCCCCATTACCCAGAGATCCCAATACCCCTAAATTAATTAAGGAATATACCCTAAATTATAGAGGCCTTAATATTATGATTTAAGGTATATTCCTTAACTAAGGGGTATTGGGTTCTCTGGGTAAGGAATATATAGCTTATAAAAAGCTAATTACTGCATGCAGACGCCTGCGCACATACAAAAAGGGAGCCAACATCGACTCTTCCTGCAGTCCTGCTGGACTCCTACCGAACCCCAGAGCGCCTATATCCTGAAGCCGGACATGGCGAACAGCTAAGGCTGAATCCTAAACACTCCGCAAACTCAACCTCTCTCTCCGACATAGGCTTTTTCAGCGCTGTGGTTTATGTAGGCTTAGTTGGTGTCTGAGGGGCTGTACAGAGCAATTATAGTGTCCAGCATCCTCTGGAATCCAAGTTACAGCATTGTTTCAGAGAGTTCTGTCATTCAAAAAATTCCAGAAGCTTCGATACAGGATCAACGGCACAGAACCATCTGAGTTTAGCGTAACTCCTCATTGCCTGACCATGAGCCGAAGACTGTGGCATGCTTTAAGTCCACAGCCAGGGTTGCTTGAGGCTTTGGATTTACCTAGAGCCCCCAACTTCCCCTCTATTATACCCTAAATGGGTTCATCTCTATTTGCAACTAATGCCTAAACCTCTGAACCTGCAGTACATATTGCTGCAGAATGTTGAAGGATGGTGTGCACCAGGAGCATCCCCAAACCGTAAGCGTCTTCCAGTCTACAGCCGAGAACTTGGACTACCGAAACCTCAAAGCTTCATAGAAAAAATGATTTCCTGACTACCTGCCAGCCAACGCAGGCTGAACAAGGTTTCCGCCCCGGGGGGGCTGTCAGTCTATCGTGTTCCGTTCAAGAGTTTAGCAGGTTCAGTGTTGTGTCGCTTAGACGTCTTGGGACACGCATGGTATCCGACCACAACCATACTGTATTGAATAAGTCAGAGACATCTCAGCCTGCCAAGTAGGTCATCCCTAATCCAATACACGTAATGCAGACAAGAAGCGAACCCGTACTGACTTGTGTGTGTGTGTGTGTGTGTTTGTGTGCGTGTGTGTGTGTGTGTGTGTGTGTGTCTGTCTCTGTGTGTGTGTGTGTGTGTGTGTGTGCGTGTGCGTGTGTGTGTGTGTGTGTGTGTGTGTGTCTGTGTGTGTGTGTGTGCGTGTGCGTGTGTGTGTGTGTGTGTGGGGGTATATTCTCGCACACTCACATGGGAACTATAAGGGGATACTCTTAACATTTATTCAGACCATCTATTAGACCCTGCCCTATGCACCCTAAACCCTTTCGCTAGGCACCTACCAACCCATGGGCCAGCGACGCTTTCCCTTCGCTTGCGGATCCCGTGCAGCCCGTTCACCTTGCCAAGGAGCTAGGGCTGGGTTCCAGCACTTTTCGGGTTCAGGATTTAGGCTTCAAGATTTTGGTCACGTCCAAGTACGAAATCTGTGTTTCCTGTAGTTGTTTTTGTATGAACTTCTCAATTTGCAGAGACCCTGCAACATTTGTTTAGTATGATCGCTTGAGGCGTTTTTTGGTAGAAGTTCTGGGCTGTGAGTTTCGAGCTGCCAGATCTGCCGGCTTAAGACGTTCAGGTTGGACAGGAGTCGTACATCGGACTTATCTTGTTGGCGATCCTTGTAGTGGCTGGTGCGTTCTTATAAACGTTTTAAAGGCCACCCACCCACCAAAAAGGGTCAGTAACATACATACATGCATGCATGTATGTCTGTGTGTGTATGTATGTATGTATGTATGTATGTATGTATGTATGTATGCGTAAGTAAGTAAGTAAGTAAGTAAGTAAGTAAGTAATTAGTAAGTATGTGTGCATGTATGTACATATGTATATATGTACGTAACGTACCTATGCACGTAACGTATGTACAGGTGGATGGATGGATGGATGGATGGATGGATGAATGGATGGATGGATGGATGGATGGGTGGATGGAGGGATGGAGGGACGGACGGACGGGTGGGTGGGTGGGTGGGTGGATGGATGGATGGATGGATGGATGCACATATTCACATATATTTATACGTGGATATACATCTGGTTTCATTATTTCCCCTTAAACCTAGGCCTTAAAGCCCAGACCATCGCCCGAAATGAGTCCAAAGCCAAGCTCAACCTGAAGCCTTGTAACCTACTTGGAGGATCATGTGACTTACTAAGTATAGAGTTATAAGTACCTTAATTAAGGTTATATGTAACTATATCTGTAGTTACCTGACTTGTAACCCCAATTACTAAGTCCCATGATCCTGTAAGTAAGCCAGTCTAAGTCCAGAATCCTGCGCCTGTATGCCTCGATACCCAGAAGCCCTAACCCTCCCGAAGAAAACACGCAGGGGGTTAGGGTTTAGGGTAAAGGGAAGGTGACGGGTGGAGGGGTGTTAGGGGGGGAGGGGTTGGGAAGGTGGATGATGGGGCGTTGACGGGCTGCCAAGGGTGATAAGGGTTTTGGAATGTACTGGCGAGGGTTCTTTTCTTCCGATGTGGGTGCCTTACTTAGCATGCGCTTATCATGTGGATCGACTGTTCCAGGTTTAAAACATTAGATCCTGAGTTCCCGCGTGGAGGATGGTTGCACAGTTGCATAAACCGCTAACGGCAAAGTAGAGAAGAACATTTCCTCACCGCGCCCTACTTCTGGCGACGTTACCTCGGATTCTCGGGGACCTTGACCTAGCTGACCAAGCGTAGCCTACTTTGCCACGGGGTCTTCCAAATAGCCCATCACGCAAGCGAGCTACGGGTGGTCTGAGGCACAGGTTACATGGTCTGATCCCAGGCTAAACCTCAAAATACTGAAGGAAAACACCCAAGCTTCCCTCTACAGGAGGAGTCGTTGGAGGCAAGCCGTTATGCAGATCGGTTTCTGGGGTTCACGGGTCTGGTTTGGGGTCCAGGGCAAGGGTGAGGTCTAGTTCAGGGAATGGGTTAAGGGTATTAAGTCCACCGTCTATACTATTCTTGTCAAGGAAAGGTGCGGGGGCATGTGTCCGGTTCGCATTACACTTCCCCGTACTGATCTCTAAATCTCCGTCGCACCTTACCCGCTGGATTTGAAGTCCTTCTGCGTGAACTCAACCCTGTGTCTTTGCAGCCTCTGTGGTCACAGCTCATAGTGTGGGGATTAGGGCTTAGGGGTTAGAGTTTGCGAGTCTATGTTAACGGGATTCGGGTCATGCAGGCTTTTTGTGGTTCGACGGGAGTCAAGCAGCCATGGCGAGGTCATGTCAGAAATGAACATGATAAGAGCTGCTATCGGGGCCTTAACAGTTATTTTGGGGGTCCTTATTATATTTATAGTATTAGGGATCCCCGAATCCTGTTCGAACCATTCAGGCCCCTCTGTTGCCATTCCGATTTTTGTTCTGGTGCTTTCTGGAAAGGTTGCCCCGAGCAAGGACAAGGACGTCCCCA